CAGGTGATCTAAATAGTGAACGTGGGTGTTCACATCAAAGTGGATGATGTCGCTGAAGGAGGAGACGTCACAGGATTCCTGCTGGGCAGCTGCCACTGTCATTTCATCCAGCTTCTCCTGAAAAAGTCTTTGTCCTCCCAGGTTCTGTTCCTTGGTAGTAACTCCTCTGACATTTTGGTGGACAAAGAGGCAGCTTGGGGAAAGATGTACTTCCTTCATCCTCAGAAAAGCCTGCACAGTGATCTGAAGAACATCCTGCATGTCTGAGGGATTTTCCCCAAAGATGTTGATCAGGGTCATGTTGCTGATGCCAGTGACAAAGGTGGCCAGCTTGTTATCATCATTCAGGGACTGTTTACTGGCCATGAGTGGGGCACAAAGCCCCTTTGTGTCAACAACCAGCATGTAATCAAAGCCCATGTCCTGTTGCAGCTCCTCGTCCAGTGGGAGGAGCTGCATAAACACTCCCCGGGTGCATCTCCCCGCACTGATGTTGAACTGCAGCCCAAACATGGCATTCAGCAGGGTTGACTTCCCTGTGCTCTGGATGCCGAGCACGGAGAGAACAAACACTCGTTTGTCCCCCAGCCTCTCAATTAGGCTGTCAAAGATTGCTCCCACCCAGCAGACCAAGGAGAGGTCAGAAGCATCTCTATTCATCAGATCCACAGAATACCCTGAAACCATCAGGTCTGCTGCAGTTTGGGGCAGTTTGACAACATTTTCATGCTCTGAACTCATTACTTCCTTAGCTTCAAAAATCTGCCCTACCACTCTTAAAAGATGCTCAGGGCCAATGGATGAATCTTTGATTTCTTCAGAGAGGGCATTTAACTCACTGGGTTTTTCCTGGTCTTCCTTTCCTGTACGGATTTCAGACCGTAACTTGTGTTGGTCTCACCTCAGTTCTTCAAGGCAACCAGAGGACAGGTCGTCCATAAAGACCTTCATCCACTGCAGGAAGTATTTCTTGGTATCTACAGGCTGTGACAGGAGAAAGCCAAAAAATTGCTTCATCACCTGATTGCGGGGGAAAGCTTGCTGTACTTGCTTTCTTCTTATTTCTGCCTTTTTGGATTCACTTTGGCTCCACTTGTACCACAGATTTTCTTGAAGAGGTAGGAGCTTGGAGTTGATCTCAGACAGCTTCTCTTTCTTCAGAAGAGTCACCAGCTCCTTTGCCTTTGCTTTGGCTGTCGGGTTGATCTTCATACACAAAGAATCAGTGGTGGCGGATCGGGTTGATCTTCATCCACTAAGAATCCGTGCTGGCGAGCTTTGTCCACGCAGGCAGCCAGACTGAAACGTGAGTTGGACCCTTTCAGGAGATTCCCGATTGTTTTGCTCAGCTCATGTAACATTACTCTTTCATTTCTGTTCTTGATCCCTATTGTTATATTTTTGCTGGATTGTCCAGCTGAAACCTTCTCCTTGTCAGTGAGAAGACAAACCAGAGGCCTTTGCGACCGTGACAGGTCACGCAGAAGTTTTTTTCCTCTGTCGTTCATGTGCTCAGACTCGGATACGAGAGCCACGTTCACAGCAGAGATCTCCTGTAAGAACTGCAGCTGTGCTCCGTGATCCCTGGCATCTCCACGCAGGTTACAGAAAGCCACACAGCACTCAAAGGTGTCATCAGGGCTTCCCTGGGGACAGTACCAGGCAATCTCCACAACACCTTCCATCAGCAAACGCTCTCTGGTGCTGCCTCGGCAATGGCGATGGAAAAAGGTGTCGTGTCTTTGTTTGCTCAGCAGAGCACTGAGGAGCTGAGACTTAGAAAAGGAGGCAGAGGTGCCAATGCGGATGAAGGACACGATGGGTGTCTCTGCCTGATGAATGAGTTTGTTATTGTAACTGTTCATTCCGGGCTGCTGTCCCGACTTCTCCGCCTCTTTCCAGCTCCTTTTGATTTGGCTGAGGGCCCAGAGTGGGAACTCAATCTGGGCAGTGCCTGGCTTGGGCACCAGCAGAGGCAGTGCCAGTTGGCAGAAGGCCAGCTTGGTTGCAATGAACTGTCTCAAGAAGTCATCAGCACAGTGGAAAATTGCCATCTGGATGTCCATGGGGTGCACATGGCCCTCCCTGCTTGCAGCTTCAGGGGCTGCTTCCTCCAAATCATTTACAAAGTTTTCAAAGGAGTCTGAGGCTTCTTGCTCTGTGGTTTCTGGCACAGGGGCAAGTCCTGGGTTGCTCCCCTCCCTGCAAGTCATGTACCTCACCCGATAATCCACGGTTAAGAGCTTCTGCAGGAAGTGAAATGGCAGTTCCTGGTCCTTGCTGGGCTGTCTGTCATGCAGAGATGTCTTGCAGATGATGTGGAAATCTCCCATTCCCATTTTTCCTGGATAGTGACTTTCTAGTCCAAGGCGCTTGAGCAAGTGGAGGAACTCTTGGTTTGCAGTGGCTTGATTTGCTTTGGATTTGCTGCCACTTAACATGGTTTTGTCCAAGTCACATTCCAGCATCTCCCAGTCTTCGCATTCCCTGTGCTTCTGGAGGAGATTCTTTATCCCTGTGGACCATAAGCCTTTCATGTGCCTTTCCATGAAAACTAAACGCTCCTTCTTCTGCTCTGGGGACAGTTCTTTACTTTCAGGGGTCACAGTCAGACCTGTCAGCAGAAGGGAGGCCTCAGCTCTCTCAGCATCTTGCTCCTTCAGATTCAGATACTGCTCATGTGCTGCTTGCATTGCCTGTGCCATGTACTGAATTTCTTGATGTCCAAGGAGGCGCTGAAAAGTGTTGCTGTCCACCTGGTACCCCATGCTGGTCGCAATTAAGAGCACCAACAGTTGCATGTCCTTCTGAGCCCCTTCCTGGAGAGACTGGAGTGAGGAATGAATCGCACAGATTGTACTCCAGGTGGCTTCTATCTTTGCTTTCTGAATGGCAGTAGCAGATGGCACACCTGGTGTGTAGGTGACAGCATGGATGTGCTCCATCATTTGCTGCAGTGTCTCTATGAGCTGTTCAAGCTCAAAGGCTTTGGAAGTTTTGGGAAGCCTGTGCTCAGTCTGGAAGATCCATTGCATAATGAAGGAAGACTTGGGGAAGTTCTTGACAGAACTGATATGAGGATCCAGGAGGCTCCACAACAGTGCCTTGATAGAGGTGGAGTTTTCTGGAGGTGACTCCTGGCAGCTCCTCACAGTGTTCACCAGAACCTCCTGCAGGGCTTTGTCCGACAGGCACACCTCAATCCAGACACTGGGGTTCTTGGTTTTTGCATTCAGATTCTCTTTTAGATCCATCAGCATGAGCAGTTTCCTTTCATCCACTGTCCCCTCCCAGGTCTTCACAAACTCCATGAAATCTCTGGCCTCTTCCACTGCACTGGCCAGTTCCTCTCTAACAGTGGTGTCAACGCTCTGATTTGTCAGTGCTTTGTATGCAGCCCTGAGGGCACTGCTCATTCTATAGACGGACTGAAAATCCCTGCTGTGATTGCACAGGATGACATCCCACACCGGGATCAGCTGGAAGCCTCGGTCGATAACACACCACGTTGAGTTATTAGACACAAGCCCCGTCTTCCACTGAGGAAGAGAATCTGTCTCTGATGGGCCCCCTGTGTTGACCACATAGAGCTGAATGTCTGTGTGGGAGTTCTCTCTGGCTTGGTCCTCGCCAGAGGCCTTTGAGCTGGATTTGGAAACAGTTGCGGCCCCTCCTCCACTGGCCCCAAAGCCGCCAAGACTGGCCCCGACAAAGCTGTTCAGGGCTTCAGATGTTTGTCGCTTCACCTTTTCCCGGTGCTCGTCTCTGAATCCTTCTGTAGACGCCTTCCACCAGAATATCCCCCCAAAGTGGAGGGGACCCTGGTCGACGTGGGACCCAAACCTGTGGAAGAAGCTCTCCAGCAGGTTGGGCTTGTCTTCTTCCCGAGTGAAGCTCAAAAGCTGCTCCATGCGTTGCAGCTCTTGCAGGGCTGCATCTGAGAGGAGAAGCTGATGCCTTTGGAAGAAGCAGGAGGCCAGAGGGATGTACTGGTACTTGGTGATGCAAAAGTAGCTCTTCTCAGAGTTGGACTGGTGGGTGTCCTCTGACTGTGAGGACCTGCTGTAATCTACACCAAGGCCCAAATTAACCCTCCAGAACTCGGCTTTGGCAGAAGCGCTGATGGTGAAGCCCAGCTGCTCCATGGACTTGGTGAAAGAGGATTCTGCTGCATTGGAGGAGAACTCCTTCCTCTCAAGCACCGATCCTTGCTCTGGACCGACTAGCTGGAATCCCTCAGGAACCCTGATGAGCTGCTCTCGCTTTGCCAGCACATCTTCAGCTCTGCTGGTTCTGTAGATGCCCTGCAGGGCCAGTCCCCCTGATGCCTGCCTCAGCACCTCTGTGTCGGGGATGTTCTCCCTCCTGCCCACTGATGACTCCTGCTGCTCCAGCTGCTTCAAGTTGCTCTCCAGTACATCCGCCAAAGGCTTCTTTGGCGCTGGCTGGAACTCCTTGGAAATCTCCATGGCTTGCCATTGAGCCTCTGCTTTCTGCCTTACAGCATCCTGGCTCTGGCTGCGGCTCTTGGGTGTTTCTGTCAGCTCCTTCAGGACTTGCTTGGCCGCTTCTTGTCTCTGCTTCTGCAGCTCCTCAGAAGCTGCTTTCTTCTCTGGTATTTTCAGGAGTTTCTGGAGCGCGTTTTTCTCCCAGGAGTGCCGCACATGGCACTCCAGCTTAAGGTAGTCTTCATATTGCAGATGTTGCAGGGCTTCTGTGCACTGGACTCCCAGGATCTCGGACAGTTTGGGGAGCCAATATCCAACCTCCAGTCCTTCGTTCTGAAATACCTCAGCCAGGAGCTGTGTTTTTCCATCCCCCTTTTGGGTGTCCTCCTGTGAAGCCAGGAGCTGTGCTTTTTCATCCCCCTTTTGGGTGTCATCTTGTGAAGGCATGGCTGTAGGGGAAGAAAAGAGACTTTCCCTAAGGTTTGTTGTGAGAGGCCCCAGGCTCTTCTAAGAGGCTCTGCAGCAGCTCTGGGCCTGGGGATGCTCCCATCCAGCCGTTGGAGCCCAGCCTGGGATGTCACAAGACCCAGGGTCTCCTTCCCAGGACAATGGATGTATCTGTTGTGGGATCAGCCCTGAAGTTGAGTGTGTATCCCAGAGACAACACACATACACACACACACACACACACACAAAGTTGGCCACACAACCTGCCATGGACAAGGTGTCGCCTTCAACATCACCCACATCCTCTCAACGGGACTCCTAAATCCATAAGTGCAGAGAGCCAAAGGCATTCCTGGATACCTCAAGCACCAGTACAGCCTCTCTGCCCATCCCACACCCCTGTGTGCATCCTACACCCTCTTCCCAGCCCCACGGCTCTCCTGCTCACTGGCTGCTCCGCCTTGGTGCTCCCAGCACACAGAGGCAGCACTCACACACTCACCCCACAGGCACCTCCCTCCCCAGACACACTCACCCCAACCCTGGCACGGGCACACGAGTGGGACCTGTGCTCCGGCTCCAGCTGCCACCGCCGAGCCCCTCACTCACCCCACTCGTGCCTGTTCCCCCAGGAGCTGCCCCTTGGGACACACATGGTTCCCACCCCAGGGCAGTGGGAAAATCCAAAGTGTCCTTGCCCAGAGCTGTGCCTGGGGCATTCTGTTGGCCCATCAGTAGTGACTGGAGACTTGGGGAGCCAACTCGGAGAGGTGCCCCTGAGGATTTGCTCCTCATTACCAGAGAGGGTCTTGTGATGGCCTTTGGAGCCATCTTGGCCACAGCCACCACAAAGTCATCGAGTGTAAAATGTCTGGTGACAGGAGGAAAAGTACCAGCAAACCTTCAACCCTGAACATGAGGAGAACAGAGTCCAGGCTGCTCAGGGAGAGAGTTTGGGACGGCCCCTGGGAAGAGGCTTTGGAAGGGGCTGGGCTGCATCAGTGCTGGTCACTTTTTATGCACCACCTCCTAAGGGCAGGAGCAGGAAATTCCCAAATGTGGGAAGTCAAGCAGATGAGGCAGAAGGGCCTAGAGGGGAAGCCATGTGAGGACACTGAGGGCACTTGGTGTGTTAACCTGGAGAAGAGGAGACTGAGGGGAGACCTCACTGCAGTTATAACTTCCTTGGGAGGGGAAGAGGAGGAGCAGGCACTGAGCTCTGCTCTGTGGGGACCAGTGACAGGACCCCAGGGAATGGCCTGAAGTTGTGTCAGGGGAGGTTTAGGTCGGATATTAGAGAAAGATTCTTCCCCCAGAGGGTGGTTGGACATTGAACAGGCTCCTCAGGGCAATAGTCACAGCACCAATGCTGGCAGAGCTCAAGAAGCATTTGGATGATACACTTGTGCACAGGATGTGACTCTTGGGGATGGTCCTGTGCAGGGCCAGGAGTTGGACTCGATGATTGTTGTGGGTCCCTTCCAACTCACAATATTCTAGGATTCTGTGAACGCCAAAAAATTAACCCCATTCTGGTTGGAACCAGGACATCCCACAAGAAGGACCTCAACAGGATGGAGAGTTGGGCCAGTGCAAAACTCATGAACATCAAGGAGTCCAAGTGCAAAAGGCTGCACCTGGTCTTGGGAATCCCAGGCACAAAGACAAACTGGGCACAAAATGGACGGAGAGCAGCCCTGGGGAGAAGCACTTTGGAGTGCTGGTGGGTGAGAGGCTGGACCCAGGCCAGAAACACCCTGTGTGGCCCACAGCATGGGCAGCACAGGAGGCCCCTCTCTGCCCCACTCAGCTGACACTCCACCTGCAGAGCTGCCTCCAGCCCTGGGGAACAACAGCACAAGGATGTGGAGCTGCTGGAGCGAGTCCAGAGGAGGCCACGGAGATGCTCCCAGGGTGGAGCCCCTCTGCTCTGGAGCCAGGTTGGGACAGCTGGAGGTGTTCACCTGGAGAAAGGAAGACTCCAGGGAGACCTTAGAGCCCCTTCCAGTGCCTAAAGGGGCTCCAGGAGAGCTGAAGAGGGAGAAATGGCACTGGGGTTGGATCCCACCAGGCCCTGAGTCACCCCCCAGCAGCTACTGCACTCCTGCCAGTGGGATGGGACAGAGAAGGGGAAAAGCAGAGGGAAGAAAAACGGCTGGGGCCAGGTCAGGGGAGTTCAGGCAGTGGAGGTAAACTGGGTGTGCTGGCAAAGCAAAGGAGGGACTTTAGTCATCAATTCCCCTCAGGGGCAGATGTGCAGCTGCTGCCTGGGCAGCAGAGCCTCGGGGGTTGGAGCAGCTGCTCTCGAAGGCACCTGCTGGGTCAGGACCACTGCTGGATATTGTCCCCTCAGGCCACTTGTCCCAGCTCTGTCCCCTCCCAGCTTCTCTCCCCTTGCAGCGCTGCCAGCACTGGCTCAGTCTCAGCTGCCGGTGGCTGTGCTGGAGAACATGAACTCCAGCCCAGCCAGACCCTGAACCAGCCCCCAGGCACCCTTTGCAGTCCCAGCACTGCTTCCTATTTCTTCAGGAACAGGGAAAAAGCCACATGCAACTGTGTTAGTGCAGAGAACCACTGAGACGGTTTATGGAACAGCTCGGGATCCCTTTTCTCCTTGAAAGCGAGGGAGGGAAGCAGCAAGGCTGGCAGGAGGACCTGCCATGGGAATGCCTGCACCTCATTTCTCAGGAACAGCCCCCCGAGAGTGTTTTCCCCAGCTCTGCCCCACGGAAATGGGCTCTGGAAACGTTTGTGCTTTGAAGGGCTGCAGCAGGGAGCAGAGTACTCTGGGCTGTGAAGTTTCGACTGTAAGAGAGGTGAATCCCACCCTTCCTCCACGTGGAGGAAAAGGACAAAGTGTCTCCCCAGGCCTGGGGCCAGAGCAGGAGGTGCCAGGAGGGCCCCTCGTCCCCCCAGAGCTGCCCTGCTCCCTCAGGAGTAGCACGGGGCACAGGCAGCAGTGTAGCACACAGATAACATAGAAATGCCAAAAATAATGTTTAGCCATTGTTTCTGCCTGTCACAACTTCCTACCAAAAATTCTCTGTTGGCTTTCTACCGGAAGTTCTCAGCAGAGCTTCCTCCTGGAGTTTTCCTGCCCCCTATTGTTTATGGTTATCGTTTCTACTCGAACATCTGAATAGGGCTATGTGCCAAGAAACCACTTACAGTCTCCTTTGAACACTGTAAAAGCTGAGGAAAAATTTTGGAAGATCGGGGAAAGCAAAAGGGAGAGACAACCAGTTACCCTATCTGAGAAGCTCTTCCCAGCTCCCCTCACCTTTGCTCTGCCACCGCATGCTGCCTGCCTGTCACTGGAGACTGGAACTCTGCTGGCCTGGAGAGGACTGAGACCCACCGTGCCACCTGCGTGAGTTGTATCTTCCCTTACGATATTTCTGAGGGCCTGGGAGGCTCGGCGTGAGTGGCAAAAGCACTCTTCCTGGCTGCATTCCAGAGAACTAAAGCTGTTAAGACACCCCAACCCCCGCAAGCTAAAGAGATAACATCGAAAAGCGGCAGAGACAGAGAAAAAAAAAAAAGGGAGAAACCGCTTTTCCCCCCCCCCCCCCCCAGACCAGCTCGGCGGAAGGGTAGCTTTGGTGGTATCTTTTCTCTGCTTCTAGAAGTAATCTTAGCATTTTCCAACTTTTGTTACTTTTTCCTCTTTCTCTTTGCATCTTTTAGCAATTAATAAAATCAGTTTTCGTATCAACAGATAACTCGTGTGGTTTTTAATTTTGCTTAAGAGAATATTCGGATCTGAAGTTCTTTCTGCAATATTTGAGCAGATTGTAACAAGCACCCCCTCCCCCACAACGGCCCCAGCATCCCCCGCTCCTGCCTTCAGGGCAGCGCAGCCCCTCGGACCCGCCTGGGGCTGGTGGTGCCCGGGACGGGCAGGATCGGCCCCGCCTGCAGGGTGCGTTTCCAACCGGGCACAGGATGCAAAGGGAAGGGACTCCGCAAGGGATCTGTCCCCAGCCAGCCCCGCTGCCGGCTCTGCGCCGGGCTTTGCACCTCTGCACACACCACTATGCCCCTGAATCCCCCCAGAACCTACTCCTTCCCCCCGCTCTCGCTCCCTCCCCCTCCACCCCTCCTCTTTCCCACCCTCCCAGCTCAGCCCCCGCAGCGCACACGGATCCCCCGAGCTGCCCCAAACCGGCTGTGAGCACGGGCGGCTTCCTCCAGCCCCGCTCGGAGCACAGACCACCCGTCCACTGCCCTCAGACCCCTCTTCGGTTTCCCTGGCATCTCCCCAGCCATGGGAAAAAAACACAGAATGGGAAGTAGAAGACCAACAAGTTCCCGCTCCGCAATGATCCCGGCTCCCAGCCCCGCAGCTCAGCCCAAGGTCCTACCGTCTCCTCTGTGCCCGGAGCTTCGGGGCTGGGAGAAGCCCAGCGCAGCTCCCCTCGTTATCTGGCCCCGGCTCTGCCGTGGATGCTGCTTTCACTTTCAGAAAAGCCGTGGGGCGTTGGCTGCTGCTTTCCTGAAAATGGGGCGTTTAACTGCAACAAAGTGAAGTGAAACTGCAGAGCTGCTGCCTGGTTCGGGGTTTAAAAGTTGATCAATGAGAGGTGGACTCGATGGCCTGGGAGGTCTTTTCCAACTGTAATGATTCTATGATTCCACGAAAAGCAGCAGGAGCTGGGCATTGCCTGGGCCTCCTGGCTGGAAACCACCCTGTCTGTGCCTCTATCCCTAGATCATCGGTGTCCCAGAACTGGGCAACCTGTGCCAGGGACTCACCATCCTCACAGCCAACAATCCTTCCCAAAATCCCATCTATGCCTGGCCTCTGGCACTGGGAAGACATTCCCATTGGCCTGTCCCTCCAGGCCCTTGTCCCAAGTCCCTCTCCAGCTCTCCTGGAGTCCCTTTAGGCACTGGAAGGGGTTCTAAGGTCTCCCCAGAGCCTTCTCTTCTCCAGGTGAACACCTCCAGCTCCACCAGCCTGGCTCCAGAGCAGAGGGGCTCCGGCCCTTAGAGCATCTCTGTGGCCTCCTCTGGACTCACTCCAGCAGTTCCACATCCTTGTGCTGTTGTTCCCCAGAGCTGGAGGCAGCTCTGCAGGTGGAGTCTCACCTGAGGGGGCAGAGGGGCAGAATCCCCCCTTCCCCTGTTGCCCACACTGTGTGATCAGCCCAGCACATGGTAATTTCCAGGTGCCATCACACCCAGCCGGGTCGTGTCCATCTTCCAGGATTCCTTGCCCTGTCCCACAGCAGGAGCCCTCCTTGCCATGCAGGTGAAGGACACAACTTCTGCTCTTCCCAGCTGATTGCTGCCAACATCCTCTGGATCCACTGTCCCACCTGAAGCAGGAGGTTGCTGTTCCCAGCTGGTGGTTTGGGACATCTACAAAAACAGGGGCCTCCTCCTGGATGTGCAGTGGAGGAGCAGCAAGCTGCTCTCCCCATCCCAGATCAATGTGGGCACAGAGGTCCCAAAGAAGCAACCACAGGCATCTGGAGAGGAAGGAGTAGTTGAGGTGGGTGCCAGTGCCAGGCCTGCTGGTGCCTTTGGCTGTTGGAGCCTTTCCCCTGTGCTGGATGACCCTCCCTCCCCAGCACCCAGAGCAGGCCTGGGTCACAGCTCTTGCCTGGAGTGCTCGCCCAGCGTTGCCAGATGTGCAGAGCCATCCCCTGAACGAGCGTGGGCTGCTTGGCAGCCCATCCTGGGTCCCTGTAATTGCACTCAAAGTTTGCTGCAATGTTTATTGGTGTGTGTTCATTCTTGGCTGCAGTGAATTGCATCAGAAAAGTCACTCTGCTAATTAACAGGAATGATTTCACTGCCGAGAGGGTTTGCAGGAGAACTGGGGGCATTGTGGAAATTCAGGTATAACTCCCGGTGGCTGGCTCCAAAAATGGCCATGATATCAGGGCTTGGATCAGTGACCTTATTCGTTTTGCTCCACCTCTGGCACAAAGCAGGATGTCAATGAGGTTTTCTTCCTGTTAATTGGAAATTTCCTCTCTGTGGAGAGGAAGGATGAGGGAGAGAGAGACAGAGGGAAATGTGCTTTGGAAAAATAGATTTTATTTGTGCCTTTCACATAGGCTCTGTCTAAACTTGGAGGTCACATTCCTCCTCCTTCCCTGCAATGCCTCCTTTATCTGGAATCATCTCCTGATGGGTGTGGGCTCGTAGCTTCCCTGAATGGAAAAGATAACCTTGATTCCTGTTTCTAGGGATTGTAACAAATCCTTTTTTCTTGCACTGACTCTTATACTATCACAGAATCCCAGGATGGTTTGGGTGGGAAGGGACCATGAAGTTCATTCAAGTCCACCACCTGCCATGGGCAGGGACACCTGCCACTATCCCATGTTGCTCCAAGCGCTGTCCAGCCTGGCCTTGGACACTTCCAGGGATGGGGCAGCCCCAGCTTCTCTGGGCAACCTGTGCCAGGGCCTCACCACCCTCACAACCAAAAATTCCTTTCCATATCCCATCTAAACCCACCCTCTGGCACTGGGAAGCCATTCCCACTTGTCCTGTCCCTCCAGGCCCTTGTCCCAAGTCCCTCTCCAGCTCTCCTGGAGCCCCTTTAGGCACTGGAAGGGGCTCTAAGGTCTCCCTGGAGCCTTTTCTTCTCCAGGTGAACCCTCCCAGCTTTCCCAGCCTGGCTCCAGAGCAGAGGGGCTCCAGCCTCAGGAGTGTCTTTGCAGGGCAGGGAGCAGCCACAGCTGGGCCGGGGAACTTCAGAGCAGGACATGTGACCCGAGGTGGCAGCAGGGACAGGGACAGGGTGAAGCTGTCCCGGGAGCGGCGCAGCCTGCTGGCAAAGCCTTGAGCAGAACCCAAGAGCCCGGCGGCCTCTTCTCGTGCCCAGGGCCGCGCGCTTTCCCCCTGCGATAAAGAAAAGGTGTATTGAAGCCGTGCCTCGTCCTTTCTCAGCCGCTCCACGGTTTCCCCGAAGCGGATTGCTGCGGTAGGTGTAAAGGAATTAAGGCATTGTCAGTGACAACAGGTTTCGGAGCGCACCGGGTGCCGGCACCGCGCGGTCTGCTCTCACCT